AATTATTTCTCGATTACAATAAAAATTTTTATAGGTTACAAATTATTTCACATTAACAAATCGAAAATTTTATAATTCACAATTTTTTCATCGGTCACAAATAATAAGTCACGTATTATTCATTGGTCACAAATCACAAATTTTATATATTACAAATTATTTTAACGTCACAATTCAAAAAATTTATAGATGATAATTTGTTTATCGGTCACAAATCAAAAATTGAAACGTTATAATTTATTTATAGGTCACAAATAATAGATATTAAATGTCACAACTTATTAGACATTGACAAATTATCAAATTATCGATCGCAAATTAACAATTTTTTAGGTAATACATTATTTTTTGTCACAATTTATCTTTTTCATTGGTCGAATATTGTTTATTGATCACAAATTAATTAATTGAATGGTCACAAATAGCCAAATAATTTGTGCCACCACCAACACTTATAACTATCACCACACGATTGCCACCAACAGCATGGCAACCGAAACCTTGTCGCCGAACTACCACCTCACCTTCCGACAACAAATCATCATCTAAAAATACTGACATCACCACGACCATCGCTACCCACCCACAACCATCGCACCACCACCACCACCACCACCACCACCACCACCACCACATAACCTCTACCACTAACCCCCCCTCCTATCTTATCCCACGACCTAAAAAAAATTCCCAACCCTACCATCATTGCCGTCGCCAACCACCACCAACACTGCCACCATCTACACCACCCAACCACAATACACTATGGCACCAACTGAAAGCAGCATCACTACTTCACCGTCTCCGCCCCCACAACCTCCAATAAACTATCACGTTCAATTTCAAAACCACCACCACGACTCACCACCACAACCACTAACAAATCACCACTAACTATCGGATCCACCACCGCCACCACTACCAAAACCAACAAACCCCATCAAATACACCGCCGATCCAACAAAACCACCACCACAGCCAAATCCACCACCGTCGCCACAACAAAAACCATCCATAAATCACAAAGCAGCACACAATCCACCATCACCCCACCGTCGTTGCTATGGCAACAACGATTGCGAACCATCAGCCATAAATCACGAATCCATAACGTCCATCAACCACCACAAAATCACGACTCCCCCGCAAAAATTACAAAAAACTCAGAAATAAAAAAAATACAGCGGCGATTCGCACGAATAAGTGCCGCTACTTCGCATAACGCCTTCAGACGAGGCGTGCCGTCTCGCTGAGGCTGGGCTGTCGGCGGAGAGGGAGGAGAGTGTAGAGTGGAGAAGAGAGAAGGTAGAGAGAGTGACAGAGATGAGAGAATGAGGAAAGTTGGAATGAAATTGATTAGGCTTTGGAATGAAAATTGTACAATTAATATTTAATATTTAAAAATAAAACATCTGATTTTTGAAAAGTGGAATCTTTAATCTAATTTTTGAAATTGAATCTTTAAAATTTTGATTTTATATAATTTCCACTAGTGCACCTAATTACAGCACAAAGGTAATAGGTCCAGTAAAAATATTGGACTTTTTCACTATTGCAATGATGTCATATATGACCTGTTTAATGAGGAAATTACATAAATCCAGGTAATTAAAGATTGCTTTTTAAAAATCAGGTGCAAAATTTATTTATTCAAAAATCAGGTAATATAAAAATCTTAACCCGAATCCCCAAACAAAACCTAAATCTATTCTCTCATCCTCATCTTCTTCGATTATCGTCACACACACTCTCTCTACCCTCTCTCTTACCATCGCCGGAGTGGAGCAGCGGAGTCGCGCAGATCTCCCTCACAGACATCGGGAACTGCACTGCTACTCCTAAGGGTTTTTGGGCCTTCCGATTTCATTTGTAGTGGTCCATTCGCTAAAATTTGACCAAAAGGGGGTCGAATCGAGTTATGCGTGCCTCGCAAAATCCCAATGCAAATCTATTGGTTTTTAGTTCAAATATGCTATTGTTTGTTGATTCTATGGATTAGGTGTTACTGATGATATTTTCAGTTGGTTGGTGGTGAATTAGATGTTGTCGATGGTTCAAATTTGCTATATGTTTTTTTTTCCCGTTGGATGGTGGTGTTTTCCATTCA